GAGCAATCGAACTCCCTGTCGGTTGAACTCCGAGGGGACACTTTGCATATTAGGCTTTTATATATATAGATGCCCCTCATCAAAGAGGCCTTCCCTGAACACTCCCTGAAGCTGCCTCCCCGCATCTTTTACAGCCTCACTCTACTGTCAGTGCTGAGAGGACAGGGCCTGGGCCCTTCCGTACCATCACCTAGCGCTGGCACATCTGGGCCACTGCTGGTGCTCCGTAAAGCTGCTGAGAAAACCCCCTCTTACAGGCACGGGAGCAGCGGGGGCACAGAGGGACGATGGCACTTGCCTGACTCACAGGTAGTGGATGGCAGTGCGGGAGCTTGAGCCCAGGCAGGCTGGCTCCAGAGCCTGCGCTCAGGCCCTTATCTATTAGCATGGCCACTGGCCAACACCACCCACACCGTGAGTACCACTTGGCCACGAAGCCACCTCCGTATGCCCTTGGACAGACTCAGCATGGGAAAGGGCACTGTAACACCTGGGTCAAAGGGGACAGGTTTTTGTCCCTTGATCTACACGTCTGCCCTGCCCTCTCCAGGGTCAGTGAACACACCATGTACTTAGCTCCTGGCACCCTTGGCAATGCTGGATATTGTACAAAAGCTTGTTTAACAATTTCACAGCTAAAAGTGACTGCCTGTTTTTTAAAACCAAGATGAGTTTGAACATTTCCCCACACTTTTTTATAGATGTTTCCTCTTTGTGAACAGACTTGCACAGAGGTCTGTGTGTCGGCACTGGGCTTTGAAGCTGTCTCAGTAAACCATCCTTTGCCACGTGCACTTAAACACCAGCAGGGACATGTGCAAGGATCCACAGGCAGGGCTGACCAGTCACCTGATCAGAGGACAGCTAACTGTGCTATCGCCCCCAAACTCAGCAGCACAGGGACAGAGGCGGCCAGGAAAGTGGGTGGTACTTCACCCAGCTGACCAAGAGGCTGAAAGAGGTGGGCTAGCCGGCTGCCCTCTCGCCCACACAATCCCTGAGCTGTTTCTCTTAGGAACGACGAAGCTGCACCCTCCTCTCCCAAAAGGACATGGCTTCTGCAGGAATCGGAAGAAGAAATTGAGAAAATAGATGGAGGTGTTCTATTTCCAAGTCAATGGAGATGCTATTTTCAGCCAGAGAGGTGACTTGTCCCTTCTAGAAAAACAGGGCTGTTGCGTTGTGTTAGGTGTGGTCGCGGACAATGCCACCAAGATACCTTTAAGCGGGGCTGCTCCGGGGCCGGACCTTGGGCAGGCCTTTTTCCAGGGGGAAGGTGCGCCTGGAGGACGGCAACGACTTTAATGAGGATGTCATCGAAGATGGCCGCTCCCATCAGCAGGCCCATGTCACAGACTCTGAGGGCTGCGGCCACGGTGGCCGAGTCCCCAGGCGCTTCACACAGACACATGGCTTTCAGGAGGCAGCCGAAGGCATACACCCGACGCCAGTCTTTGTCCACGTCCTGCCACAGCCCGGTATTGAGTTTCTCCCAGGAGTAGTCAAGGACCGCCTCGCTCGTCTGCAGACACTCGCTCCTTCTGCCCCCGTAGAAGAGGTCGGTGGCTTGCTGCAGCAGCACCACCACACTCCCCTCCACGCTCGCACCGAGGTCCAACCGCAGCTCTTCTTTAGTGCGGGGCAGGAGCGCCCGGAGGGCCTCCCAGAGAGCCCCGGGCCCCGCCAGCGCGTCTCGGTTGCTGTCTTCTGCCGTCAGGCCCACCGCCAGCTCAGGCTGAGTGCTGGTGGAGGAAGAAGTAAGTTACAGCAAACACCATGAGGGGCACTTAAATCCATACAATTCTCTTTTTATAAAATAAAACTGTGATGACTCCAGTGGCCAACAGGTCAACCACTGAGATTTAGAAAATATATACAGAGAGAGGGCGACCACATACAGACTTGGTCCCCGGTAGGTTCCTACAGCTTCCTACACTTGTCCTTTTAACACACATCTCATGTGCCAGTGCGAGGGTCCTTCGACAATGGGCTTCTCTGCTGGGCATAAACTCGGAGGGCAGGGCCCCATCTGTCTGGGTCACCACTGTATCTCCAGGGCCTGGCACAATACCAGGCCTGCAGTGGGCACAGGATAAATATCTGTTCAGGAAGAATATTTACTCCTTTTCTCTTGCAAACCTATCCCACCTTTAGTGACCCCCTGCAGGGGCCCGCCAAGGCTTGTGGGCAGTGTTTCCTGTTCCAACAGCCCTGGAGCGTCTTTGATAGCAGCTGCCACATGCAGCACTAATACCTGCTCACACGTCTCTCTCTAATACCAGCTTGTGAGCTCTTCCAGGGCAAACACATCTCGCTCTACATTTCCCTGGGACCTGTAAGCCGCCCGGCTCACAGCGGGCACTCCACGGAGGCTGCTGAATAAGCGAGTCCTTAACTTCTCAGGAAGGAACCTGATGACAGGGCACCATTTGAAATTGAGGTCCTCAGGACTGACTTGGTTTCAAATCCTCGCTCTGGAAATCCCATCCCTTTCTATACTCAGAGACCGAGGCTTTCCCTTGGATAATCAGGACCCGCCCCCTGCCCCCAGGCATCAGAAGGCAGCAGCCGGGCCTGCGAATGGGGTCCCAGTCCCGGCCTCGGTCAGGCTGAACATGACATCTTGACCTACGTTATGGTTCAGCTCCTACTTCTCCGCGGGGACTCGTTCCCGCGAGACGGGGCACACGGACCGGAAAAGACCTCAAAGTTCTCAAGATCTAAGAAAAGATTCATTTCCCTCACCTCACCTTCTCATCATGGGCACCCAGCACAACCGGAACCCCTAACCCACGGTGTCCGGTGCCTTTGCGGGAATAATCTATAGCCAAGTTCCTGCTTTTGGGCATTAGCGCCCGTCTCCTGGATGGCGTCCTTCATCAATAAGACAGCCCGTATTTCTCCACTTCAGCCCCCGTGTCTAGCGTTTGGCTCTTTCTGTCGCCGTGACCCCAGCCCTCGCCCCCCTGGACGGCCCCCCCTAAGCATGGTGACTTACCGGTCTTTGCATCCTGAGGGGCAACGCGATGCTGATGCTGAGTTAGCTCCTGCCGAGTGGCCGAGTGGGAAAGCCCGGTCCTGCAGGCGCCCAGCGCGCGGGCCCCACCTGCTCCCTTGGGCGCGGCACCTGCCCACACCCTCCCTCCTCCCCCAGGCCTCACAGCCTTTCCCTCCCGGCGCTGCCCCCGGGATTGGGGTTCATCTCTGGCGGGCCATTCGGAGCCCCACGGTTCAAACGTTCCCAGTCCGCCGAGCTCCAGGCCGAAGACAACGCCGATTGGTCCGGCAGCTACGAGTAAGAAACAAAAGACTGCGCAGGCGCACTAGAGTCAAACCAAGGCGACACAAGAACTGCGCAGGCGCAGAACATCCTGGCTTGCAAGCATGCGCAAAATTCTGAACTAAAATCACTGTCCAAGCGCAGGGCCTTTCTCCTACCCGCGGTTGCTCTGGAGAGTTGCTACCCCCCGCATTCTCAGAGCGCATGCGTTGGTTCTGTTGCGTCTCTGACGAGCCTTCCAAGGCGCGTGCGCGAACCTATCCTCTCTGGATTGGTTCCTTAATCCAACGCCTGCGCAATTCTCCCCTCCTCGTGTCGGGGACTCGTTCCTATTGGTCCGTACCGCCCCCGCCCCCGAAACGTCAGAGGTTCGCCCGAGGAAAGTCGACTCTCACAGCTCGTCCGGTCGGAGGGAGTCCCTGGAGGAGCGGTGGGTGCCGCGGCCCGTCCGGGTTAAAGGCCTGCGGTCGGGGGCCGCGCATGGCTGGGCTGCTTCAGTTTTTCTCCCACGTGGGTCCTGCCTGCGGTTCCTCTGCGATGACAGCTTCACAGCCATCATGTTTATCCAATCTTTACAACTAAGGTTCTTAGCTTTCCGTTTCACAGCAGGGTAGCCCGAGCTCGGTGACATAAAGTGGCAAACCCTGTCCTTTGGAAAGTGACCGATGCTGACTTTGAGCTCCGGGTGCTGCACCCGCGGCCGGTGGGAGTGGGGACCGGGTTTCAGTGCGCGGCCGGTGCCCCTCCTCCCGCCAGGCCACCTGATGCTGAGCGGGGGCGCCCCTGGGGGTGTGGTTTTGGGGAACCAGGGACGCAAGCCGTTGCAGCCTTGGACAGAGGCAGTAAGTTCTACTGATACTTAGTGTGGACTTCGAGTAGAAAAGAGAAGCGGATCCTATATGGTGTTAGAAAATTACCCATGGCAGCTGAAAAAGGTGATGAAGCGGGCTTGGTTCAGGGGTCGACCGCAATGGGGAGGGCGACGGGACACAGCAAGTGCAGATCTGTCACCAAGAGCAGGGCGGGTCCGCGGATGGAAATATTACAGAGGAAACCCGGGGCAAGGGCGATTCTGCTAAATCGACTTCACAGGATTCTTGCCGGAAGGCCAGGGTCATAGCCATCAAGGTTGAGGGAGGAGGAATTCGATGATAGACTAAGGGCGGGGAGTGTTACTAAACGGACCCAGCAGGATTCTTGCTAAAACTAAACAGAAGACCCTGACCCATATTATGTCAAGGAGAATCTTTGCCGCTGGTCACCAGGGATGTGTCCGATATTGTCTGGGCCCGTCGGACTCCTCAACATTGTGTGATTCTCCCAACAGCCCGGTGAGGTGGAGATTATCATGTCTTACTTACAGATGGAGACAGGCTTGACGAAGGCCAATGCAGCAGGCAGTGGGCTCCAGCTACTGTACTAGCCCCGAGGAAAACACAGCAAACCCAACCCCTGCTCTCAAGGGTTTCACAGGTAAATACGATTAACAAATGTTAATGGCGCATTTACTACACACCTGGCACTTAATATTAAAGTCATAGGTAATGCCCTCGGCCGGGGGTGGGCAACCCCTGGCACGCGTGCCAAACATGACACGCCAGTAACTTTTGTTGGCACGTGAAACCCTCTCTTATAATCTTCCATTTACAATTTTTTTCTTAATATCGACTTTTTTATTTTTCAGGTAAATTCAGTGTAGGTGCATCTTAGATAAATAAATAATTTTACATAACAAGTTATTTTAAAGACCATAGATCAGTGATGCAGCAGCAGAAGTCCCACTGATAATATCAAATGGAGTCATAAAGTTTCCTGTCGGACTATCAGTGTACATGTATACATAAAAAAAAATGTATTTTTCATCATCATATACTGTGTTTTTGTCGCTCAAATGAATTTTATTATTTCTTCAAGGTTCTTCACATACGTACACCTTAAGAGATATCAAGTAGGCGTAACATGTTCTCAAAAAATTAAGGTTGGCATGCAGAAGAATTTTGAGTCAGAGATTTTGCTGGTTTTGGCACGCACTCACAAAAAGATTGCCCACCTCTGCCCTAGGAGGTTTGGCTCAGTGGATTGAGCATTGGCCTGTGGATGGAAGGGTCCCAGGTTCGATTCTGGTCAAAGGCAGATGCTCTGGGGTTGTGGGCTCAATCCCCAGTAGGGGGCGTGCAAAAGGCAGCTGCTCCATGATTCTCATTGATGTTTCTATCTCTCCCTCTCCCTTCCTCTTTGAAATCAATAAAAATATATTAAAAAATAATAAAATAAAATCATAGGTAACTATTATAATTTTCATCCCCAGTTGAGTAGTGACAACGTTGAATTTTATTTGAGCCCTGTGCTCCTGGAAGACAGTGATGGTAAAAGGAATTTCCCTCACCCTTCACCCTTTTGTGTTCCAGAAAACAGCTCACTGCAAATAATCACCCTTCCCTGTGACTTAGTAAGTCAGAGATGCTCCCCCTGCTTTCACCTATGAAAAGGCCAATCACAGACTCCAATTCCCATTCTTTGTCTCATCAGTGATTAGCCCAACTGCTTGTCCCTGCTAATCAATTGGAGCAAAATGCTTGTTAACAAAACTTTGCCTAAATTCTCTCCTTCCAAGCCCCTGAGCTTTGGATCACCCTCAGCCTGAGCCTGCAGACGGCCCCTCCTGAGGTAAGGCTGGCCTCGGAGCACTGTCTCCTCATGCCACCCTTCCCTCCCACTTCCAGTCCTTTCTAGCCTTGTTGTCCTCTCCCTATGAAAGCATCTTGAGCCCGAAGCCTTAAGACACTTGCAGGCCTTGGTCACAGCATTCTCTATTGCAGCAGTCCCCATCCCCCTTGCAATCATCCTTTCAAACAAGTCTCCCTTTACTAAGTCCAGTTTTATTTTCTACTTGGCAGTGGGTGGCAGAGACTAGTAGGGTGGGCCCTTGGCTTCTATAACCCCAGACAGGCCCCATAGGAGGGGCCAAACTCAGAACCCCTGATTCTCTTCCACAATGACCAGCAGTGAGTTAGGGTGCTGCCCGCCAGGCAGAAACACACCTCTGCCAGCTTGTTTGTGTTTTCAGAACTGGCTTGTTGGAGTGTGTTACAGGTGCAGATGAAGTGTGTTCATACAAGAGAAGAGCCACAACCTTTCACCAGGGCCTTCACTCCCTGTAGTGTCATTGCCACCTACCCCCCGCCCCCCACTTCCCACGCCCCCATTCCCAGCAGCCTTGGAATTGGCCATTAGCTGACAGATACTTTTGAGTGTTACAAAAGTGGTGGCATTACTATGCACTACCTCATCTTCAACATGTTTCTAAATACTGAGACAACATTACATTTCTCATGCATCATTTATACCACTTCTACATCCAGAAAGGAAGTGAGGCTGATTATCTATACATTAGAAGAAGAGGCAAGCGGCAAAAAGTTAGTGATTTGATTTTTATAAAATTTAAGAAAGATATAGTAATGAGATCCCTACTATATGATATCTAAAATAATTTAAAAAATAAAAATATGAATTTATTTTTGTGATTTTTCTAACTCAGAAATTTTGTTTGCTCAGAAAGCTTATTGCATTTAACATATTTGTTAAACCCGTAATAAAATTGTAGTTTTTGCTTAAATCGCGCCCCCCTGAATTTTAGAATAGTTTTAGATTTACAGAAAATTTGTCAAGATAACAGAGTTCCAATATACCCCCCCCCCCCCCTCAGTTTCCCTGTCATCTTAGGTCAGTGTGGTACCTTTGTCACAATTAATGAGCCAAGGCCGATAGACCCTTATAACTAAAGCCCATGCTTTATTCGGAGCTCCTTCGCTTGTGCCTGATGTCCCTTTCTGTCCTGGGGTCCATCCAGGACCACATAGTTGTCTTGTCTCCTGCATGCCCCGTGGCTATGACAGCTTCTCCCGCTTCCCTGTTGACGACCTTGACAGTGATGAGGAGTAGTGAGGCATTTTGTAGAAGGTCCCACACTGGGATCTTTCTGGTGTTTTCCTCATGATTAGGCTGGGATTGTGGGGCTGGGGGGAGAAGACCCCAGAGGGAAAGTGCCCTATCATCAGGTCATATCTGGGGCATGGACCACCAGCACAACTGGTCGCTTGACGCCAGCCTTGATCACATAGCTGAGGTGGTTGGGAGGTTCCCCTTTTCCGTGCTGGATTTCTTAGGAAGCACGTCACTCATGCACAGTTCATGCTTCAGGAGCGGGGAGGTAGGCCCCCTCCCTGAGGGCAGGAATCCACATGAATTATGTGAACTTCTGCACAGGGCATTTGCCCGTTCTACCTATTTATTTATGCAGTCATGATTTATATCAGTATTCATGCTTATTTATTTTTTACTTTGGATTGTGGTCCAGTAGTACATTATGTATTTTGTTGCTTGAATTGGTCCAGCTTTGGCCGTTGGGAGTTCTTTCCGGTTGGCTCCATGGCCCTTTCCTTCTCCCATTGTGTGTGCGTGTGCGCGTGCGTGTGCATGTGTGTGCATGTGTGCGTGTGTGTGCATGTGTGGTACTGGAAAATAAGACCTGGGCACCAGGCGCGGTTTGCTGCTGGTGTGTCACCTTTTTAAAATAAGCCCGGAAGTCATGGATTTCACCTCTGCTGCACTCACAGGCCCACTCAGAATCAAGGCGAACACAGCCTCGTCCCCTTGGAGGCCTGTCATTGTCACACGTGAGAGCTAATGAGATGGGATATATCGGCGTCATCATTGGAAAATACCATCTGTCACATCAGTGGTGCTGTTGTGCACCAAGGGCTCGTATGTCACTTACAACACCTTTCCTCCCTGTCTGGTTTCTGTTTGGCTGCAAAGAAAGTCTTTCTGAAGTTCGGCTATCTTTCCTTCCCCACCTCCCAGTTTGGTTCTTCTTGGAGATGGTCAGTTGATGCAGGGGCACATGACCAACAC